CTCTCTCACACACACACACACAAGTGCGCTGTCCGCGCGCTGGCGGCAGCGCGCGCGCACACACACACACACACACACAAAAACACACACAAACACACACACACACACACACACACACACACACACTCACTTACAATCAATCAATCAATCAATCAATCAATCAAACCCCTTTTTTGAAGTTTTTTCTGTATTTATTTTCAAAATTTGCATTTGCATTTTTTTGAAACACCTCATACCCCTACAAAAAACAGCAATTCAATTCTAAAAAAATACAGGTGAACTCTGGGACCATATATCGTCACAAACAGAACTGCCCGACAGAACCGTAGGCAAAGTATGATATATCTCATGATAAAAAATGAAAAAAAAAAATCCAACTTTTCTTTATATATTTTTTTTATTTTTTTTTTAAACCAATTTTAGTTTTTGATTTTTTAAAATCCTAAACAAAGTCGGATTCCAGAAAAAAAAATGGGGTTGTAGGGCTTAAAATTCCCTACAACCCCATATTTTTTTTATTTTTTTTAACCTATTATATAATTCAGGAAAATTCTGGTAAAATCGGGTCCGCGGCGCGGACTAGGTCGGCCGCGGACGCGGACCCATCTACGTCCGCCATCCGAGATCGGACCCGCGGACGCGTCCGCGGGTGTTTCATAGCTTTTGCCGTCTTGTAGTCAGGGCAATAGGGGACAATGTGGTCGGGGTCCCCACATTTAAGCCACTGGTCGACAACTTTTCTTTCCTGCCAAACGTTTCCTGTGATCCCCAACTTCTTCCAAGGTTCCCCTTCGGGTAGACCTGGATGAGGTGGGTATGGCTTATCCCAATGGTTGTACCACGTGCCTCTTCCTCTTCCCCAGGTAGAATTGAAACCACGGCCACCTTGCGAGGGACCATAACCCCTTCCACCCGCGTAGTAGCTACCTTCACCACCACCCCTCTGGGTACCGGGTCCTCTCCCACCACGTCCGCGGCCTCCTCTTCCTCGGCCACGACCTCTTCCTTGGAGCCCTCCACCGCGGGCTGCAACGACCGAGTAGCTCCCCTCCTGAGCTACCGGACCGCTGGGTTCTCAATCTATTTGGTCGTAGGAGAGAGTTTCGACACCTCCTTCAAAGGTCAAAAGGAGGTTGTCTTTCCCAGGTATGTTCCCTGAGATTGTGTGGTTCTGCCATTTTTTACCCGCTTGCAGATCCTTCCAGTAATGGCAGTAATTAGCTTCAACTAAGAAGCCAGCATGATCTATGGCGATCTTGCTGAACTTCTCGTAAGTCATCCCCTCTTCTTTTGTGCGGGGGTACAACTGAGTTAGGCCGTGCTCAGCGCATTGCAAGAGTTCGTCCATCGTTGCTTTCAGTGCAGACACACTCTTCCATTTTCGATCCGCAATATTCAAAATTAGCATTTCCGTTCGACGAGCCAGGTTTTTATCTTCAAATCGTTCTCGTACTACTTTAAAGAAGTCCTCAATCCTGGTTTGCTGTGAATATTCAATCATTGTCTGGCAGTTTGCTTCTTTTTGCAACGATATGGCGAAGCTCATCGCATCGCCGGCCATACATGAAGTGGCCATCAGAACTCTGTCCCAATATGGGATGCGCTGACCGTACACATAGGACTCTACGGCCGCAATCCAATGCAGGACGCTTTCCTCCCTCTTGCCTGTGTAGGTCCACGACACTTTAACTTTAATCTTTTTAGCATCCCCACTGTCTTCTCGCAGCACCCCCTTTCCTTTTTTATCACCATCTCCTCCATCCCCGTCTCCATCACCGCCGCCTCCCCCTCCTGCACCGCTGCCCTGAATTATCTTCTCAATTACAGCCGGAGTGAAGGTCTGGGTGATGTGGTTATCTAGTTTTGCAATGTAGGACTGAATATGCATATCGACGTCCTTGGCGGACTTCTGAAGGAAGGTGTTCCAGACTCCTTCAAATTCGTATTGGTGGGACTCCACTTTCTGCAGAGTTTTGTTCATTGCTTCTAGTTCTTGTTTGGTATGCAAAACTGTTTCGGTTAAGAGGGCTAACTTTTCTTCGGTTGCTGCTTGTTTGTCCTTTTGTTCTTGCAACTCTCTGTGCAGCCTTGTACCCTCTACTTGCAATCTCTTTCTTTCATCTAACTCTTGCAGCTTTGCTGCCAACATCTTAGCATGCAGTTCTGCCCGTTTCTCTTCAAGCATCAGATCTCTTTCTCTTTGATCTGTAACAGTTGCCAGTTTCGCAATGAACACATCCCTTTCTTCTTCTGTTTCTTCGAGTCGATCGCTGGTATAAGCATACTGGTCGTACCAGTCCAGCGGTTTGACATTAAGTTCCCCACCTGTCTGGCTTGTCTCACCTCTTTCTGCCCGCCGTCTGATGAGCCTGTCATCGGCAGGTTCATCTTCTTCTTCAATTGTCTGCAATTCTTCTTTTAACTCCCTCTCTAACTTTTCTTTCATTTCTTTTTTCATTCTCTCTTCTTCCATCTGCATTTTCTTTTTTACTTCTTCTTTTTGTCTTTTTCTTTCTTCTTCTCAGCCTGGCCGCGCTCCACTTCAGCCTGTTCCACAGGCGTGGGCCCCGGCTTGATTGCTCCTGATCTCATCATCATTCGGGAAACACATACTCTCCCGAAGCCCAGGGGAAAAAACACTCGAAACAAAGGCCCCAACAAGACCGAAAGGGCCAAAATCCCCTGCATGGGATAGTCATCCATGGTGGATGACAGCACAGGTAGTCCTCCGCTGGTCCACCAAGAGACTATCCCCCACACTACTACTAAACTCTTTCTGATGTGGATGGGATACTGTTTGTTTTTTGCTTTTTTTACACTTTAGAAATCGCTGTTTCAATCAATAACGAATTTCAGACAGTAAAACTCAATACAACTTTTTTCTTTTTAACACTGCTGGTCTCCTTCTTAGTTTAGTATTTTGCTTTCTTCCTTTTTGGTCTAGCTGTTTCTGTTTATACTAACCTTGGCTGTTTGTCCTCTTGCGCAGAGAGAAGTTGGAGTATGTACGATGTCAGAGTACCCGGGCTATACTTCAATCACACAGATTCTCACTGCCCAGTTAACTTTGCTTGATACCGTGCTTGCACTCTGACGTGGCAATCAGCCACTAACACCAGTTTTCCCCACCTTTACTACCTCCTGCAAATGTCAGATTAGAGGGGTAGAAGAGAGGACCTACAGGACTCTGACCACTTCTGCCTCTAATGTGACCAGACACGTGTGTCCTGACTCCCAGACCAGACCTTAGGTAGACAGCAGCAGCAGCGACCACCAAAGAGGGAAAGAAGTAGAGTACACACACACACAGTCAGGTAAGGGGACAAGGAGGTTCTTCTCTCTTTGAAGCGGCCGTCGATGAAGCTCCTCGTTGCTCCGCACTCCAGTGCTCCAGGTTAGTATTATTCTGCCCCTTCCTCTCCGGCTCACTTCTTCCCCCAATCCCAATCCACCTCTGTCTCACAACTCCACCATCGCCAGCATCATCATCAAGCCAGTGTTCTCTTCTTCTTCTCGCCAGCCTTGCTCATGCCAGCACAGTGAGTGCAACAAGCTTCTGCTCCGATACCAAAATTTCAAGGGACCTGACTGCCCTCCTCTTGCTGGAGTGTATCATAACGCATGCATGGACAAAGATTCACACACAAGATGAAGCTCACACGTAGTCCAAATGAGATGGAATAGAACCAAGATGCGCAGATCAATTAATCATTAACACATTATACAAGAGTATATTGAGATCCAAAGTTCAGCGCAACATTATCACGAGTCTCTCTCTTCTATCTCACGAATGGGGCCTGGCTCAGCCAGCGCCACCTTCAGGAATCCAGTACAGCGCACCGCAGGTAAGTATCCACCATAGCCAGATCCTACCCCACTCGCCCTTTCTCTTCTCTCTTGAATCTCAATCTTGGTTCCTTTGTCCCAGCATACATGCACACTCCTACCACGAAGATCTACTTTGAATGCTACTCATTGAAGACTACTGACTAACCCTTCTACTACTACTACTAACATGTTGGCGCAGCTATGGCTGCCTCTTGCAAGCCAGCGCCCAGCCTTCCTCCTCTTAGCGCAGCTTCTCCTGCCAGCGCTCACCCAGCAAGCTAACGCACAAGTGCTACAACATTTCCACGCATCAATGCCACTGGAGAATCTGATCTCAAGGGAGGCTGGCCTAATGCTTTATACTGTTGGCCTCCCTTGGCGAGGTCTGTATTGGCCTGTATTGGCACTTTGGGCCTTCCTCAGTCCCAGACCCATGCATATGTGTGTGTCCTAGTATTTTCCCCTCAGGATCTGCTGCTGCGGCGGCCATCTGGCCTGAATTTCGGA